TATGTTTTTATTTATTTTTATATTAATTATATATATATATATATATATATATATATATATATATATATATATATATATATATATATATATATATATATATATATATATATATATATATATATATATATATATATATATGTACAGTTGAAGTCATAATTATTAGCCCACCTTTGAATTTCTTTATTAAACATAATTTAGAAAATATTTAAGGAAATGTTCACAGTATGTCTGATAATATTTTTTCTTCTGGAGAAAGTCTTAATTGTTTTATTTTGGCTAGAATAAAAGCGGCTTTTAATTTTTTAAACACCATTTTAAGGTCAATATTAGCCCCTTTAAGCTATTTTTCTCGATAGTCTACAAAACAAACCATCGTTATACAATAATTGCCTAATTACCCTAACCTGCCTAGTTACCCTAATTAATCTAGTGAAGCCTTTAAATGTCACTTTAATCTGTATAGAAGTGTCTTGAAGAATATCTAGTCTAATATTATTGACTGTCATCATGGCAAAGATGAAATAAATCAGTGATTAAAGATGAGTTATTAACACTAATATGATTAGAAATGTGCTGAAGAAATCTCTTAAAAAGAAATTGGGAGAAAATAAACAGGGGCTGATACTTCTGACTTCAACTGTATATAACTGAAATGTAATATATTGTTTCATAGTTTATAATGCGGGAAATATTCAAAATGCTTCATTGAATCAAATTCATGTCTATTTAAATAACATCTAATTAATAATGAGTTTTCAGTGTTTTTAGGGGAATTATTTGTATAGAGTTAGCTGACTTCTGATTAGCATTTTCAGTGGTTACTCTGGGTCAAATCATACAAACTACATCCAACTGTACTTTACTTTTAGTCTACATGTAGACACAAACTCCTATTTTACAAGAAAACTGTGTTGTGAACACTTGCGGTGTCCATCGGGGCTCTGGATCTGCCACTTTTTAAAATAATTTGTTCTCGCAAAGACTGACTGGCGGCTGGCGCGATTAAACATTCACAATGGTATAAACCATTGTAGAGTGGTCAAATGTTTATTAATATTATCTATTATTGATATCATTATTTAAGATGCAGATCAGAGAAATCTGTTAAAGTGCTGGCTTCTAACCCTGATAGGCTACATCTTGTTTTGACATCCTTCAGGGCGAAGCAAGTGTTCATTTTAACCCCCTGTACACACCCTGAACACAGGAATGATTGACTATATCTGTTTTGTGAGGAAAATTACTGTCAAAACTGCACTTTTTAATTAATAGTCAAAGTGTGTTTTGGCGGAGATGGTAAATAAGATTGTGTTCCCATACCGGGAGTCGAACCCGGGCCGCCTGGGTGAAAACCAGGAATCCTAACCGCTAGACCATATGGGAAGCTCTGAACAGAGAGAGTATGGTTACCGACTTTTATTTAACAAGAAGGGATACAGCTGTGGCCGGAAATTGTTCATTCATTAATTTCTGTATGGCTTAGTCCCTTTATTAATCTGGGATCGCCACAGAGGAATGAACCGCCAACTTGTCCAGCATATGTTTTACGGATAGGATGCCCTTCCAGCTGCAACCCATCACTGGGGAATTATTATTTTATTTATTTATTTTCCATTAGTTGTATTTTATTTACGTCTAAAACTACCCTCACAGTAATATAAATAGCAGCTGTTGTAGTTTTTGACAGAAACTATGCGTATCCTTTCTAGATCGCTTTTTAGAAGTAAAGTCCTGATGGGGATACAGCCGTGGATACGCATATCAATATAACATATTTATTGTGACACTGTACAACAAAAAATTATATTTTTACATTAGTGTTACGGGTATGTTTAGGGTTGGGGTGGGGTAGGCGTTAATAAAATACAATTTATAGGTTAATTTAATAAGAAAATATGAATAATACTCGGTATAATTATTGTTTTTTACATTATGTGAGGGTTGGGTTTAGGGTTAGGGTAGAGGTAAACGTTAAAAAATACAATTAATATGTAATTTATAAAAACAATTATAAATGATTCACGTTAACTCCCGGCCGCAGCTGTATCTCTTCTAGCGTTCCATCAGCGCGGGTGACCACGTGACTCGCTCAGGGCTTCAGGTTCACCAGATCATATAAACTGATCATGAACTGATCATAAAAACAATGCTGACCAAAAACATCCTCCTACTGGAATGTTCACATTTATAAGGTTATCACCCATACACTTTATAACAGACATAGCTATCTATCTGTTATCACATGCCTGACAGGACTTTTATTTTTATTTCATTTTAATAACGTCATCATTACCAGTTAAAGGGACAGTACACCCCAAAATAAAATAAAACGCATCATTATTTACTGAACTATTATGTGTTTCTTTCTCCTGTTAAAAGCAAAACAATATTCTAAATAATGCTGGGGAAATCCGTAATTGATATACACATTAGAAACAAAATACTATAAGAGTCATAAGCTCTTTTTCCAGCATTTTTCAATATAACTTGTTTTGTGTTCAACAGAATTAAGAAACTCATAAATATTTACAACCACTCGAGTGTGAGTAAATAATGAGGACATTTTATTTTTTGGATGAACTGTCCCATCATCACTGAAACTAAAATTAAAGAGCGTTCCCCTGTGGCTTTTATTATGTAAACTTTGGCTTGTATTTTGTCCAGTAGCTCAGGCGTTTCAGTCAGTTGCATCATTTCCGCTGTCTCTGTTCACCGGCGACGGCCAGCATGTGAGTGTGATCTGACACTTCATCTTAATATAAAACTTTCTCAAACACACACATATATAACTTACAGACACACACACATATACACAAACACACACTGCCTGCTCCGTGTCTATAGACTCGCTCATATATAGGCGAACTCGGTGATTAGCGGCTAGCTGAGACTGTAGCTGCTGCTCTATTACTGTAGTCTGATACTGTCTAATAATAAACAGTTATTAATCAGCATATGAGCGTGTATGATTGACACACATCAGTCAGTTTGAGTCTATTAGCCAGTTTGTATTCTGTTTATGCAGCAGAACACAGATATGACAGCACTATGATGTTAGTTCAGTGCTCCAAATATATATAT